GCTAAAGAGCTCAAGCACCCGGCCCAGAGTTCAGGTCCCATGACTGACCCCCCCCCCACCTCAAAAAAAAAAAAAAAGAATTAGCAAAAGTGAGCCATGCAAGGTAGCACACTCCTTGAATCCTAGCACTAAGGAAGGAGGGAGAAGGGGAAAGGAAGTATAGAGTAAAAGCACAGGGATGAGTGCTTGTTTTGATGAATGGTAGATATTGGAATATAAATGGTGCAGAGATTTTGATACAAAATTAAATTGGCCAGATTATGGTATTCTGTGTTAAGATTAGTTTGGGTCTGGACATGGAGTCTATACCTATAAACCTAGCTATGGTGGAACATGAGGATCTTGGTTTGACGCCAGCCCAAGCAAAAGTTAGGGAGACCTCTCATCTCAATAAGAGATGACAATAGTATATAGAATGTTTTAGATAAAAAGTTAAGATGTTAGAAGCTTATGACAGTAGTAAGGGGTATTGGAGGTCTGGACCAGAGGACAGGCAGTTAAGTTGCAAGATGAGGATCAAATGTATTAAGTAGATAATTGGAAGGAAAAATTATAAACTAGAAACTAATTGGATATGCTCCAAAGAAAAGCAGTGAGTAAAAACTGACTGAAGACTTAAAACCTATAATCCCAGCTGCTTGGATGGTAGAGATCTGGTGACTGGTTAGAGGCCAACCTGGGCAAAAAATGTTTATGAGATTCTTACCTCAATCAGTGCCTTCATGGGGTGGCATGTGCCTGTCATCCCATTTATACAGCAAAGCACAAATCGGAGGATCAAAGTCCTGGCTAGCCTAGCCATAAACTAAGACCTTATCTCACAAAATAAACAAGGCAAAAATAGCTGGTGGAGTAGCTCAAGTTGGTAGAGTGCACTACTTAGCCAATGGAAGGCCCCAAGTTCAAAACTCCAGTCTGCCAAAAGAAAAGAAGGACTTTCTGAGATGTCCTGTCTTTGTTGTAGCAGTATTTCATCTTTGACATTAACCTCCCTAAACTTTGCTGTATCTTCATTTCCTGAAAGCTTCCAATTTCAAGTTAAAGTTGTTTGAAAGGAAGACTTTTTATTGTGTTCCTTTTCATTCAAAGTTGTTTAAGCTAAGAAAAACTATCTGAGGGAATATAAATAGTAACAAGTTATGTAAAGTCTTTTTCAAAAGTTATTTTAAGGAAGTGGTGCTGTGGCTTAAGCGGCTGAAAAGCATAGGGACAGCACCCAAGCCCAGAGTTCAAGCCCCATGACCGACAAAAAAAAAAAAAGTATTTTAATAAAATGTTTGTTTTAGACCATGGTTACTCAAGGACTACAAACATGTAGCAAATTATTTTCTAAAATGTAATGTTTGATCTGAGTGTTGAGTATGTGTTGGTTGTAGCAGTCAAGTTTCCTTAAGGTTTAGTGTTGTGATAGAATATAAGTTATATTTTATAGAGGTTTTCTCCCTTATTTATAGAGGTTTTTACTTATTGGACTTTTTTTCATTTCAAAATGTTTCATTCTAGATTTGACTTAGCTTTTTTTTTTTAATCTTGTTATAAAGGTGATGTACTGATGGGTTATAGTTACATAGGTCAGTTAAAGAATACATTTCTTTTTGCACAGTGTTACCCCTTCCCTTACTCTCCCAGTTTTTCCCTCCCATCTCCACCCATAAATTGTATAGTTCATTTTCAACATAGTGTCCAGTGTGTATGACTTGTACTGCATTTGTTCACCCTTTGTCCCCCCATTCTCTTTTAAGTTTTTATTGTGTGTCCTGGGATTTGAACTCAGGACCTGGGTGTTGTCCCTGAGCTTTTCTGCTCAAGGCTACCACTGAACTGCTTGAGCTACAGTTCAACTTCGAGCTTTTTGGTAGTTAATTGAAGATCAGAGTTTCATAGACTTTTTTGCACAGACTGGCTTTTGAACTACAATCCTCACACCTTAGCCTCTTGAGTAGCTAGGATTGCAGGCATAAACCAACAGTGTCCAGCTATAGTTTTTAATTTTTATTTTTACTTACTTTTAGATTTGTGGACATATTGAAAGAAAAATACAAAGATTCCTCTCACACTCCTCATGTAAATGTTAATGTTGCCACATTTTATTATCTTTATCTAAACACATGTACTACCACATATATTCATTTATGTATTTTTTTAAACCATTTGAAAGTTACAGATATAATGTCTCTTTGCTGTTAATGTTTCTATAAACAAGGACATTGTCTTAAACAGCCACACCACAGCAGAGGGCAGGCACCATGGCTCAAGAGATAGAGCAACTGCTTAGCAAGTGTGAGGCCAAGTTCAAACCCAGTACTGCCGCCCCCCCCCCCCCCCCCCCAGGTGCGTGCACTGACACACACAAATACAAAAGATCAAAATCAGGGAATTACATAGAGCAACACACTCTCAGTAGAATACTGTTTTGGCAATAAAAATAAAAGGTCCTAATTCATGAAACAACATGAATAATGGTTAAGTGAGGGGAAAAAGAGGTCCAAATTCAAAAGGTTATGAGTCGGGCTGGGAAGGTGGCTCAGTGGTAGAGTGTTTACCCTGCATACATGAGGCCCTGGGTTCAATTCCTCAGCACCACATAAGCAGAAAAAGCTGGAAGTGGCGCTTGGCTCAAGTGGTAGAGTGCTAGCCTTGAGCTGAAGAGCTGAGGGACAGTGCCTAGGCCCAGAGTTCAGGCCCCACAACTGGCCAAAAAAAAAAAAAAAGGCTATGAGTCTATTTATATGACATTCTAGAAAAGACTACTATTCTAAAAATAGTGAGAGAGGGTTGCCATGAAGTAGCATTACAAGGAAAATTCAGTATCAATAGACCTGTTTAATATTTTGATTGTAGTATAGTTATACAAGTTTATTGTCAAAACTTACAGAACTATACACTAAAATGAGACATTATTTTATGACCTTGGCTTGATTGTATTGGTAAATATAGATTTTACTTTCACAGGCTGTCCCTCAATTTGAGTTAGTTTGATGTTTTCTTTTTAAAAAATTGTTTTAGGGCTAGGAAGGTGGCTCAGTGGTAGAGCATTTGCTTTGCATGCATGAGGCCCTGGGTTCGATTCCTCAGCACCACATAAGAAAAAAGCTGGAAGTGGTGCTGTGGCTCAAGTGGTAGAGCACTAGCCTTGAGCTGAAGAGCTGAGGGACAGCGCCTAGGCCCAGAGTTCAGGCCCCACAACCAGACCCAAAAAACAAAAAAAAATTGTTTTAATTAAAATTTTTTTTTTGCCAGTTGTGGGGCTTAAACTCTGGGCTTGGGCACTGTCACTCAGCTCTTCAGCTCAAGGCTAGTAGTGCTCTACCACATGAGCCACAGCACCACTTCCAGCCTTTTCTGCTTATGTGGTGCTGAGGGATCAAACCCAGGGCCTCATACATGCAAAGCAAGCACTCTACCACTGAGCCACCTTCCCAGCCTCATGATGTTTTCTTTTGAGTAGGATTTTGGGCAAAAATATCTCAGAACTAACTGATGTGTTCTCAGTATATCATATTAATAGGTTTATCATGTTTCTCTAAGATTTCTATTTTTTCTTATATGTTAATGAAAGATATATTGAGATTATGTAACTGTTTTGCTATTTGTAAAGCTTTCACCTGCTAATTTAGCATCCATCCACAATTCTTGCTTGTTTCAACTAGTTGTACCCTTAAATAGAGTTTATTGGATATAACTTAGCCTGTCAACCCAGGTTAAACACACCTTGCTTATTGGGTTTCCCCATAGCTAAGGATGCAATTAGTATGAGTGTGTGACTGAGTTCTCCTGGATGTTGGTTGGAAAGGCTTTTCAGACCACTGGGGTGACTGCTGATATTTCATCATTCCTTCCTATTCTCAAAACTAGAGCTCTTCGGGGCTGGGAAGATGGCTCAGTGGTAGAGCGCTTGCCTTGCATGCATGAGGCCCTGGGTTTGATTCCTCAGCACCACATAAGCAAAAAGAAAAAAGCGGGAAGTGGCGCTGGGCTCAAGTGGTAGAGTGCTAGCCTTGAGCTGAAGAGCTGAGGGACAGTGCTCAGGCCCAGAGTTCAGGCCCCAGGACTGGACCCAAAAAACAAAACAAAACAAAACAAAAAACTAGAGCTCTTCATCTCACACTCATCTCCCTTTCACTGTTAGGATAGCGTCTGCCCATTCGCTCCAGTATCTTGACTTGTTTTTCACATTCCTACCTCTGTTGTATATAACAGTTGTGCTGTTGTTTTTATTTTTGGTCAAACTGGGGCTTGAACTTGGGGCCTCACACCTTTTTGTCAAGCTAGTTTTTTTTTTTTTATTGTGAAAATGTCAAGCTAGTTCTTTACCACTTGAGCTACACTTCTGCTACCTGCTTTTTGCTGGTTAGAGATGAGTCTCTTGCCTCATGTTGATAACTCACACCTATCACACCTCCTAGTTGCTCAAGAGGCTCATATCTGAGGATCATGGTTCAGTTATCCCTGACAGGAAAGTCTGTGAGACTTTTATCTCCAATTAACCACCAAAAAGCCAAAAGTGAAGCTATGGCTCAAGGGGTAGTGTACTAACTAGCCTTGAGTAGAAAAAGCTCTGCAGGGACAGTGCCCAGGTCCTGAGTTCAAAATCTAGGAACTGATAGACATACACAAAAAAGAACTATGCTGCTTTTATTGAAGAAAAGAGATCAAATTTGAGGGAAAAAAAGGAAGATTTATATTTTAGAACCTAGACTTGGGGATCTCTATCAATCAAATATTGACAATAGTTAAAAACTACTCAAAAGAGAAGGTAGTAATCCTAGGCAGTGCTCCAGTAGATGAAATACCTACCACCTAGATCCCTACATACATTTATTTACATACATGGGCATATGTTTCCCTTTCCATATGTGTATGTCTGTATGTATATAAATCTTCAAATGTGTAAATATACATGATATTCTAGCTTAGAATTAGAAATGTAATTCAATTTACTCTCACAGAATAAGATTGAAGATAATGAGAACTGAATTAAAGCTTACTTTCTTTCACAGAATTCCTCAGAGAGAGAAGATTGTAATAATGGCGAACCCCCTAGGAAGATAATACCAGAGAAGAATTCACTTAGACAGGTATGAAATTCAGTCTTACTTAAAATAAAAGCTTCCAATGACAAAAGACAGGAAACCCTTGATTTACCATTCTTTAAACATTGGAGCTTAAATTAAGAGTACTATACTCTGAAATTGTTCTGGCCATAGTCATCAATTTCAATCAAGTAACACACTTTCCTAATCATTTCAAAAACATTCTAGGTATCAAGTACAGAATAGTCAATTAGCTATATACGGTAAATACTAAAACAAAATAGTTTCTTGTTTGGGAAAAATGAATAATTGGTGCTAAGCCATATTTTCCTTCATAAATTCAGGCTTTCTTTTGTGTGTATGTGCCAGTCCTGAGGCTTGAATTCAGGACCTAAGTAAGCCCTGTCCCTGAGCTTGTTTGCTCAAGGCCAGTACTCTACCACTTAAGACACAGCTCTACTTCTAGCATTTTGGTGGTGGTTGGCTTTGAACCATGACTGTCAGATCTCAACCTCCAGAGTAGAGAGGATAGGATTACAGGCTTGAGCCACTGGTGCCTGGCTAGTAAAAAGAATTCTAATTTACTTGCATAAGCTTAAGGCATTGTTCTAGAGTAGGAGCTGTAAGGTATTAATTAATTAATATTAATTAATATTTTTTCAGCACTCATCAGAACATATTTATTTAATCCTCATAATGACTGCCAACTTGCCGGGCACTGGTGGCTCATGCCTGTAATCCTAGCTACTCAGGAGGCTGAGATCTGAGAATCCAGTTCAAAGCCAGCCTGGGCAGGAAAGTCAATGAGAAAATCTTATCTCCAAGTTGTTGGTGAAGAAAGTGAAGCCTAGAAAAGGTTAGATTTGGTACATATCACCCAATGTGTAAGAAATAGTTGTATTGTCAAAGCTTATAGAATTCACAAACATTATAGATCAAGATAATGACAATTTGCCTTGTGAAGGTTAAAATGTGTTTGTCACTTTAACACAACACTGTGAATTTGTGAAATATATGTAATCCTTTAATCTCAATAAAAGTTATAAAAAAAATTTTTTAAAAAGATTAGATTTGACTTAGACTTCTTAGACTTCTGTGTTGCCAAGATGTTTCTACTTCTGCCTTTTGACAGTTTGCATAGTGTTTACATTCTCTTTTTGTCAGTTGTGGGTCTTGAACTTGCCCTTGCTGCTGTCCCTGAGCTTTTCAGCTCAAGGCTAGTGCTCTACTACTTGAGCCACAGTGCCACTCCCCATTTTCTGGTGGCTAATTGGAGATAAGATTTTCTCATTGACTTTCCTGCCCAGGCTGGCTTTGAACTGGATCCTCAGATCTCAGCCTCCTGAGTAGCTAGGATTACAGGCATGAGCCACCAGTGCCTGGCAATTTTTTTTTTTTCCCCAATCGTAGGACTTGAACTCTGGGCCTGGGTGCTGTCCCTGAGCTCTTGAGCTCAAAGCGAGTGCTCTACCATTTAAACCACAGCGCCACTTCTTCTTCTTTTTTTTTTTTTTTTTTTGGTTAGTCATGGGCTTGAACTCTGGGCCTGGGCGCTGTCCCTCAGCTCTTCTCTCAAGGGGAGAGCTTTACCACTTGAGCCATAGAGCCACTTCAGTTTTCTGAGTGGTTTATTGGGGATAAGAGTCTCATGGCCTTTCCTGCCTGGGCTGGCCTTGAACCAGGATCCTCAGATCTCAGCCTCCTGAGTAGTTAGGATTACAGGCGTGAGCCACCTGCTGTAAACATTTTTTGAATAGGCACTTTCACTTTTCTATTTTGTGTCAGTCCTGGGGTTTGAACTCAGGGCCCAGGCCCTGTTCCCTAAGCTTTTTTGTTCAAGGCACTTTGCCACTTGAGCTGTAGCTCCACTTCTGGATTTTTTGTGTTTTAATGGAGATAAGAGTCACATGCAGGGCTGGGAAGGTGGCTCAGTGGTAGAGCGCTTGCCTTGCATGCATGAGGCCCTGGGTTCAATTCCTCAGCACCACATAAGCAAAAAAAAAAAAGCCAGAAGTGGCAGTGTGGCTCAACTGGTAGAGTGCTAGCCTTGAGCTGAAGAGCTGAGGGATAGTGCCCAGGCCCAGAGTTCAGGCCCACGACCGGACCACCCCACCCCACCCCCACCCAAAAAAAAAGAGTCACATGGACTTTCTTGGCCCTGGTTGGCTTTGAACCTAAATCCTCATATCTCAGCCTTCTGAGTAGCTAGGATAACAGATGTGAGCCATCAGCAACCAGCACTCTTCTATCCACCCCAACTCCCCCCCCCCTTTTTTTTTTTTTTTTTTTGGTGCTAGTACTGGGGGCTTGAACTCAAGGCCTTGTCACTAGTCATTATCCCAGGCTAGGGATCTACCAATTTGAGTCACAGCTTCCACTTCCTTTTTTTTTTTTTTAAATGGTTAGTTGGTAATAAGAGTCTCAAGGACTTCCCTGTTGGAACTGGCTTTGATTCCTCTGATTTTGGTCTCCTAAGTATCTAGAATTACAGACTTCCCCTTTGTTGATAAAACTAATTGTTTTAAATAAAATTGAGTCAGTTCTCAAAGCTTTGTAAACAAATGATCTCTAATTGTTGTTAACACAGTTTTAGTTTTAATTATTTGGAGATAAACACCTGATCTGTAAAGCCAAGTTGGTAGAATAATATTGAATAAGATAAATTTAGAGATGAAAATACTCTGCCCACTATACAGAAACAACTGTCAGAAAACAATGATACAACAAAAAGTTTTGGCAACTTTATTTAAGCTAACAAACGAATTTTCACTCTGCAAAGTTATAAATTAATTTTAATAGGCTGATCCAGATGGTCCATTTGGAAAATGGATAGGCTGATCTGTTGAAAATTAAACTAAATTTATCTCTCTCATACTTCAAACTGAAGCAAGAGAGAGAATCGTGCCTATTAAGTCCAGCACATACAGATGGACCAGCAGGTCACACATGGGACTAATCTGATTCATTTTAAAAATAAATGCATACATTATTGAATCATTTTCTACTTGCAAGATCTGCTGTGTGCAGTATTTGAAAGAGATTTAATGCTGTTTTTTTCATTGCACTTTTAGCAGATTCTCTTTACTATCCTTCCCCCACTTTAACCCTCCCTCTTCCCTCCCCCCCCCCCCCCCCCCCCTTGTGCTCCAAAATGTTTTTCCTAATATCTGTCACTCAGTGTTGAGATCCAAGCTCTGGAGATTAATTAGGTCACAAGGCTCCCCCCTCCTCCCCCAACCCCCTTTGTAAAAGGTTTTATCTCCATTCTCTTTGTGAAGAGCATGAACTCAGTGTTCTTGGAAAGAGAAATGGCCTTTAGAAACAGGGAAGTAGGGAGATCCTCCTGGGGCTTTCAGTCTTTTAGCTTCTGGGTGTTTTAACAGCCCCATGAATGCAGATTTGTAAATTTATTGCAGTGCCATCTGGTTTTTTGCTGGAACCAGATTTCTGTTGGCTTGTGTCTGTCTATTGTGGTGGTCACTCCCTAGGAGCTTGCCCTCTCAATCTCAGGGAAGAGTGATGAATAACAGAGGTCAATAGAAGCAGGTCACAGGGCAGCTGTCCATGCCCTGAACTTGATTACCCCACTGCCTGGTTGGTTTTTTGTTTGTTTGTTTGTTTTTGTTTTTTAAGGTAGGACATAACATATAAGCTATTTGAACTTCTCTTCTCTGTGGCATGACAGTTAGAAAGTGCCACTTGCTCTTTTGTCTGTTTTGTTGTTTTTGACAACAAAAAGCTGTTAAGACCACTTTGTACTTAGTTTTGATGTAAATAGCGTTTGTGTTGTGTGGTCTAGTCTCTTAATTTGAGATTTATTTTCAGATATTTCTAATGAGATTTTAGGAAATCTTCCCATTGATCATAAAAAAGTTTTATGTTCTGAAAACTTAGGGTTATTTTAAACTACTATACATAATAGGTTGTTTTAAAAGTTTTGCCATTGTTTATAGGATATAGCCATCACATGTTAATTTGGAAAACTTTAAATATTGGGGGAGCTGAAAGAAGGGTCATTATTATAATTTTCAAAGGTATTAACAGACCAATAATAGACTACTAGTAAATAACTTTTTCTGAAAATTGTACAAATTCCTTGAAAAATTCAGCTTACTAAGATGAACATAAGGTAAAATGTTTAAGTGCCTGTGTCTATTAAATAAAAAATTTAATTAAATAAATTATCAAAAATGGTTTTAATGGCAAATTCAATAAGCTTTTCTTTTTTTAATTGTTACTATGAAGGTGATATACAGAGGTGTTTAATTACATAATCAGGTGAAGAGTACATTTCTTTTTGGTAGGAGTAATAACAATCCTATGCAAACCTTTTCTGAAAATAGAGAAGGATGAATACTTACTGACTTGTACGGTCCATGATAAGAGTAATTCCAGAACCCTACAAACAAGCAGAAGAGAAAACACATCTCTCTGTATTTCAAAATCATTTTATAAACCTGCTCTTCTATTTATTTATTTTTTGAGAAGGTGGGGTAAAGCAGAACCATATCCTTTTGGAGAAAGTTAATTTTCTTAGTTTTGGGATAATCCTCTCTCCTAGCTTTAAGAACTTAAAAAATGTATTATAAAGTGGATACAATTTTCTTTCTACTTCTAAAATGTGAAGCCAAAAAGACCATAACCACCTTTTATTCATATTTGTTATGGAGGGCAAAGGCCTGGGAGGATACATGAAAGTACTCATTGCTTTCTGAAAATGTAGCATTATAGCATGCAACTTTTCTTTACTTCACATTGGTGCTAATAGGATCTGTCAGCATTGCCTTTCTCTGTAATTGAGTAAATTGTGACCCTTGCCTAATCCTTCTTCCATCCCCCATCCTCTTTGTGTATGAGTCCACTTACCACCCTGAGAACGTGGGCAGTGATAAATAAAGCATTGAGTAGAGCTTTCTCAACTCTTTGAAAGCAGCATGATGCCAGCCCTCTAGTTATATTTCTTTAAGTGTTTATGTTTTCCTGTATTCTTTCTCTTGTGTAGCTGGAACCCTGGGGATGCAAAGCCATGAGAGAGGCCAAGAAGC